AATTGATGATCTCATCAGTAGAAGGCTCATGGGATTTCAATCCAGCGATCAGACCCATTCAGCTCTTTAGACCCAACCTGTAATAATAATGTGATTAGTATTAATGCTTTCTTGTATTTACTCATGTTCTTTTAATAATATGGGATTATAATCTCAACTTGTTTTTTATTTGACCATGAACTTATTTACGTCTGAAGGACAAAGTAAGGTTTATATTTGATTGGTCAGATCACAACATCATTTTCATATTGGTTGGGTATTTGTTGAATATGGTATGAATATTATACAAAATCTTATATATATCATTTTGGTATAACTTTGACACAGTTTTTTATCAATTTCTCAAGACAGTAATATCAGATTTCATCTTATACCCCCCTTTAAATATGTGAACATTTTTACCAAAGCCGGAAATTTCTTTATTACAACAAGTGCATATTTCAAATATTTCAAATTATGAATTCTTTGGAATCAAATGATCTTAGTTTAGATATCAAAGGTGTACACTGTTAGATTGTATAGAAAATTAGAGCTTGAGGCAAAATCTCAACTCTTGTAGATAAACTATGCCTGTTAAGTCTAGAGGAGTGGGAGAGAATGAGAAGATAGTTCTGGTCTTCAATAAATATACAAAGGAACTCATGTGTTAAACATATTATTTTTTTTACAAAACCTTTGTAATTTCTTTTTATAAAAAACAGCTTGGGAACCCAGAAGGGCCGAGAGGAGTCATAGTAAGTCCCACTGTTTTTCTCTGTCAAAGTGACCTACTCAACTTAGAATCTCAAAACAAAGCTAAGAACATTCGCAGACAGACAGACAAACAGAGATTAATATTTAATATAAAAAGATATTGAAAGGAGTACATTTGCAATCCTGAAAATTGATACTTCTGATAAAAGAAAATTGTGTGAACTTGAAAACAATAACAGTTAGAATAAATACCCTTCAAGCCAATTTACGTAACTTAAGAGTGAATATATAACATATTTTACATGAAATTCCAAATCTGAAGAGTTAAACTCCTTAATTTAAAAGTTTCAGGTTGCTTTGGAGTTAAAGTCATAAAGCTTAATTCATTTTCATTTATAAATTTAGAGTTATATTTGCTATGTAATGTTTGCATCAAAGTTATAACTAGATTATTTGTATATTTCTGCTGAGTTGTATACTTATCTGGAAATGTGATCATCTTGTGACAAAATATATCTCATCTCCCACAGCGTCTCAGGAGAAACTGGTTTATATTCAAGGTAAAATTAATCTAATTTTTAAAACTTTGATCAAATCTAAAACTTTTAGAAATATCTTGCAAGTGTTAAAATCAACAAGAGAATGAATCATGGATGTGCCTTTTTGAGAAATTTATATTTTATATCTGAAACTTTCTAACCAGAGGCCAAATTTAAAGAATTTGAGCCATGGTTTAAATTTAAGCTGGGGCTCAAATATGGTTGTATTAAATTTTTCAACATTTAAGCTGGCGCTCAGTTGAAATCTTTTTTGGCAGATTTAAGCAAGGCTCAAATTCATTAATTTTGGACAGATGATGGTTTTTTTTTGTTCAAATCATAAAGGTGGGCTAAAAACAATTAAAAAAACAAATATCAAGTAAATTTTCCTCTGCATTTATGAAAAAGTTTTCCTTCCACATAGGTAAAAGGATAATGGACTCAAATTGTTCAGTTTTCTTAGATTTTTATCTTATAATAGAAAAAAAAACTTCAATTGTTTCTGATGATTTTTGTTTAACTAGCTTTTTTTCAGATGCTATTCCAAATCTTAGGATTTCAATCTGCAGAGAGTTCCTTGTTTCTCAATGTAAAAACAAAACTATTTTTAATGTGAGTTAATTTTAATTCTATTTAAAAAGTATCTATCCTATAAACAGATTTGCAGCCATGGCTCCACAGTGTAACAGAATAGTACTTTACTCTTGCATGGATATGTTTTAACAAGGCCTTTAGGCTTAAATGTATTACTAATTAAAAGTTGAAGTATTATTATTGAAGTTTTTACATTACCAATCCCTTTCAGGAGCTTGTATGTGTTTGGAGTAGCAGCAGTATCCCCAGCTATACCTTAAATGGGTCTAAAACTTTGATTGAGTTTTTAGACAAGTCAGACACTAAATATCTTGTGTCTGATCTTGTGGAGAGTATTGATGTTATGGATAAAAACAGTTCATCCTGGAGAACAGCGTATTCAAATAAAATTGCTACAAACAGCTCAGATTTCAGGTCAACTGTTCATTACTACTAAAACGAACAGAGGTTAAAACTTTTGGTTGGGATAACACTTAGCCACATCAACAGAGATGGTTATCCACTGTGTAAACTTTTAAATTGAAGGATTTAAAAGAGAAAGTGGCTGAGATCTTAAATACAAAAGCGTTGACCTCTGCATTATCAGATAATCATTGAGCATTTTAGAAGAATCCTTAAAAACTTCCTTTTCAGAACTGAAATGTTTCCCTTTGAGGACCAATCAACCCTTCTTTGTCACACTTGGAACCAGAATATTTCAATGCTGTCAAATTTTAGAGTGAAACCATCTCCAGACTTTGGTATACTTAGCACATAAAAATCAACATTAAAGGGAATGTTTGCAAAAATGAAAGGGGGTATAGGCATTCATCAAAAAATAATCACTTTTGATTGCTAATGATCTTACTTCTATCTGTTGCCTCTCTAAGGAGAAAATGGTTAAAAACGACTCATACTGAAGAACATAGCATCCATACAAATTCAGAAAGTTGCAACATTCAACTCAGATCATAAAAAAATCAATTTATTTCCAAAAAATATTCAGATATTACAACCAATAATCATCAAAAAATTTTCGATGCATTCATATATAGTTGATATTTCATAATATTTTTAATTTTTTAGGATCTGATGGTTAACTTTAAAAAAATTTATTCCAGTTTCAAGCATTTTTTATAATGAAGACAACATTTTCATATTTTCCAGGAATAATTGAAAATTCAGAGCCAGCAAAATATTATTTAAAAAAAAGCAAAATCAAAAAAATTTGATATTACGAAAGATGAGAAATAACTACCCCTAAATAAATTCAAATCAAAAGCACATTGTACACAAAACATATTTATTATACAATGTAAAAATAAAATGATATTAATTATATGTATTTAAAGGAAAACCCTTTTAAAGAGCTTCTTTTAAAGTGAACCTTCTCATTGATGCAGACCTGCCAGCTTGGGGAACTCTGCTATACTTGCCGACTTCTTTTCCCATTATTCTTTTGCTCAACCCAAGCCTAACTTTAGGCTTGATATTGATATCTCACCCTGTTTAACGTCTCAAGCATGGCTTTTCTATAAATAGAATACAAACATACTATTCTCCTCTTATCAGAAATACTGGGAAAATGGCATTTTATGTTCCCCTTTATTTCCCTATTTACATCCACTGAACCAATGTAATCAATTCTTCAGCAACAACAACGGTGTGCAGAGCTTGAAGAATAGGGGCAAGTACCTTCTGCTGGAAGTACTCATATGGTCCTAGAGTAACAAAATCCTTAGTTTCCTTCTCCAGGTTGGACAGAGAGTAAGTGGGTCATCCGTGTAGGGGGTTCAGGTCACATTTATCATCTTGATTGCAAACAGTGTGGATCAGGCTAGCTGTAACTTGTTCAGTGTTGTACTTAAGATTGGCAACATGTTTAAAAATCTCCCTCCCCCACATATATAATCCCAGATCATCACTGTCAACATTGGTTCTGACCTAGGAGAGGAATAGATTATAATTTTGAACCCACTCTGATTACTTTGTTTCTCCCTTATTATACTCTTGAGAAGTTTAAAGTGCAGGGCTTGAGGAAGAACTTGATTACATAATTGATTTAAGGCAAAGAAAGGACCATGTCAGAAAACGTAGACAATTCCTCGAGATGATATTCAACCTGGAGACAAAGTGTTTGCAGCTGTCTTGTCTCCTCCAGGAAACTCCAGGAAACTTCAAATCTGTTGGAGTAGCCCACTGCTTGTGACACAAATATTAAACCTTGGTATGGTGAAGATCAAGCAATTGAACATTTTGGGGCCAGGGGAGTTTTGTGCACACAGGAGTAAAATACATTTGGCAAAGAAATTTGGTCAGAAGGAAACAGACCTATTGTTTATTTGGCCAATATTGCCAAAAACAATGATGGATCAATTGGCTGAAGATTTATCAGTCATTGAATTGCCTTGCAAGGTTTAAGATGATGTGGTTGACAAGTTCTTCAATGACCACATCAATCGCAGGGGGCAACAAGATGACAGGGTTTCAACTGACTCAATGGTGTCCAGAGCTATAGATCAAGCAGCTAATCAAAAACGTCAGGAACCAGTAGCAGCAGCAGCTCACCAGAACAAGCTTTCAACCAGCATTACAATATCAACAAAATGGTAGATGAAGAACTCACACAAATATTGTAAGACAACACGATGACAGAAGATGAACCAGCCTTAGGCGTAGCTCAAGCAATGGTACCAGAAATCAAACCTGAGCCAGAGGAAGAACTGATAGAGCTAAGTATCGTGGAATAAGAAGCTTCCTCAAACTCAGGAAAAAGGAGATCCAGCAAGACACACAAACCAGTGAAGAAGTTCAATGCTAGCCATCAAAGAACATCAGGATCCAAAGCTATCAGAACAATCGCCTCAATGCTCAAAAGTCTGTGTACAGGTATCACAGAGAGTTGGGCTTTAAGACATAAATCAGCAGGACTTCCTTGTAAAAGAAGTTTGTCAAGAGAGAGTTCAGCATCAACCAGGACACACACCCTTTCATTTTTAGGGAACACTCCCTTTAAAAACAAGGATTTAGTTGTAGTTATTAGTGTTGTTTACAAACATAACCTGAAAAGTCAATTCTATTCAATTCTGTCATTTATAAGTAAATTTGGTTTAACATTTTTTGTTACATGGCTTGTTTGATCTGAATATTTCTAATGTACTTTTTTCAGGTGATGTATTGATATATTTTCACAATTCTGGTGAATTTCTGCGCAAGAAACTTCGAAGTGAAATTAATACTTTTCCAAGTATTAATTACATAATGCAAGTTGAGCTTGAAATCTCCATCAGTAAGGTGTTATCAATGGAGGAAATAAAATGTGAAGAAGAGACTTACTCTTATGATTCATGCATCCTAAACAGCAATCTTGAAACAATGCAAGAAAAATGCATCCCACCATTTGCTGTACTCAACCAATTTGGCGTTGAATCTTTGTGCCCCAATTTTACAGAGGGGCAGGAGGCTTTAACTGTCTTTCAAAAATCCCCTCAATCCTGTAAACCATCCTGTATTGAAACAGTGGTAAAGTTAAATATGGTTCCAGTTGATGTACTTCTCCCAACCCTCAATCCTAACTCTCCATCCAGTACACCTTTTACTGGATATCTATTCCGAGTCCCAACCAAAGTTGTATCTTCCACAATATTTGGAACTTACACAATTGTTACTTTAGTTGCGGAGTTTGGTGGGTGGATGGGATTACTCTTAGGCTTATCTCTTCTTGGAGTTATGAACCACTGGTGGGATAAGTGTGGTGATGAGTTGGAATTTTCTAAGGTTTTAAAAATAACTCCAAAATTATTTATCTATTTAGTATCTTTGGTTTTCATTGGATTGGTTTTTGGCAGAGCCTTGCTGCGAATGCTTTATAAAGAAACTGGATTGGATGTTAACATTGAGGAGACCATCTCTGATTTAAGTATATCGTTTTGCTCTATGAAGAGTGTTTATTTGAACCAAACATCTAATGACGGCAAATCTGAATTAGTATATGTTGGTAATTCATCATCAATATGGAACAATGACATGAAACTAAGAAGTAAGATTGAATTTATCACTGCTGAACTGAGAAATGGAACCATCATAAACATCTACGAAGAGCGAGACAATATGTCACCGTACATTATCTACTCAACAAATATCCCAAGGCTCATCAACTATTTTGAGAATTGTCATACTCTTGACTTACAATTTGAAGTACTGGTTAAAAAATTAAGTTTGGTTGCCAAAAAAGAGTTTACTATATATGTACACAAAACTGGGCAACTGCTAAATATGGATTTCAGGCATGGTTTTAATTATGTAAACAGCCAATCCATGCAAGCAAGGATAGGTCGTGTCTTTGTGTACAGTACAAGACTAAAATTGAACATTGAGCTGTTAAGCCTAGGTGCAGTACAGCATAATGCCTATTCCTTAAATTCCACTTTTGATGACTGTGTTTTGGATGCCATGTCAAAAGAAGAAGAAACAGAAGCAAACAAACCAACTTCTGTATTGAAATTGAATGAGTTGGGATTGAATGATGTGAACCTTACTGAGCTTGAATTCATTAAACTTAGGAATGGGTTTCAGCAAGAAAATATCTACTCCTTTTGTGACTACCCGTCTGAAATTGCTAAGATTAGTTATGCTCCAGAAGTTGAAGATAGTATTTTTCATCAGGAATCAATCAACAAACTGCCAACTCCATCCAAAGGTAAAATCATCTAAACTAATCAATCTATGAATAAATCAAATAAAAGAAAAATATGATTTATGTTTAAAAAAATTTAGTAATAATTTAGCACATCAATCTCAGAGAAATGAAATTGAGGTTTCCTTCCCTGAAATTTTGATCATGAGCAAGGTGACCTTTATGCATAAATACTGGTGGTATGGAAATTTAGTAAAAAATAAGATGCCAAGATTTGAATTTTTTTGTTAATTAGATCCAATAATTTAATTTTACATGAAACATACTACTACAGAAGACAATTCTTCCTACTCTAAAACACTGTTTAGCATGAAATAAGATTACATTTATTTAGTGAAATTTGCCATTGTTCCTCAGTTTTGTAAAATACATATGTATATTTTATCACAAGTGTCTTCTAGCATCTTTTTTGGGGAGGGAGGGGGGTGGGGTTGTATACAATGTTGCTGCATTTTTGCATTTGGATTTTATCACAATTCCCATTTGGTTGTCCAGTATGTGTATTTTAACCAAAATGTCTTACAAGGGACTAGATTTAATGATTCGAAAGAATGAGCTGAACTACTAAAACTACATAGTTCAAATAATTCTTTGGCAGTGATTCAAGCTATAAAGAGAAGTGGTTTAACTATGTCCACACAGTTTAACTATTTCACGGTATTTATTAAATCTGGTTCTACAGGCTTATTATACCTCGGACACTATTACTCTGTTTGCTGAAGTTAGTGGTTGGGTTGGCCTTATCCTAGGATACAGGTTTATCAACTTTATCATTAGTTGAAGAATAATAGAAGAAAGCTAAGCTACTCAAATTTTCTGATTAAAGGGATGGTAGACATAATTTCAAGTGACCCCCCTTTGTTGAGTGATGTTTTTGATTCACATCACTTCTATGTAAACCTTTGACTCATAACAGCCGCAGCTTAAATTTAAACCGCAGCTCAAATTCTTTAAATTCGGCCACAGGTTATTCGTAGACTAATTGTGAATTTTAAGGAAGATATGTAACTTCAGCTACATTGAGTTCACAGTGTACAATGTATATGTTAACTTAAACTCCATTTCTCTGGGAATTTGAAGACCATTTTAGAGATAAAACAGAATAAACAGTCAAAGCTGTACCATTTTAAATTAGGCATTCCACTCTTTGAATGGGAGCCCAGGGGTCACTTGCAGTTACTCATATAGTCCATTTAATATGGTTTTCATGTACTCTTGAGTGTTGTTAATTATTTAAATCCCTATTTTGAGCTTCTTGAGAATTTTTTTATAAAAATATTTTTAAGTATCTGAACTTAGAGATGGGCACATTCAACTTTTTTCATTTTCTTCAATCATTCAAAAAAAAATTATTTCATCTGTCCTTTATTTTATCACTGAACAATCATGCAGTAAAATTGTTTGTTCAATATAATCAATGTTATAATGAGTTTAAATTGTTTTTTTCCGTTCATTATAAAAATTGATAATTTCTATAATCAATCCATTTTGTTCATCCAGCATTAATTTTTTTTCACAAAAATTTTTTTTGTTCTCAAAACTTTTGTTTGTTTAAAAAACGATGCCCATCTCTATACTGAACTTAACTTTCTGTTTTAATTAGTCAAAACTAATATAATGTTTTAAGCTTACTGAACGTGGGTCAACTGCTACAAGATGTTCTGTTAAAACTGAGTAGGAAACTATCCAAATTTATCTATTGGAGTGTTTTCATAATCCTATCACTTGGTATGCTTTACATTGTTGCAACATCAGTAGAAAAGGTTAGGGCCAGAGTTCAACAATCTGAAAGGAGCTGTTCTCGTAATTTCAAGAAACCCTGTCTTTAAAGAGCAACATATACATATGCATCTTCAAAAATATTCCATATAAACCTTTTTCTTAGCATAATCTTAATATCTAAATATTTATTTCAGTAAAGCATTATTTTTTACATACATACTAACTTAAATTCATCATTACAATAGTTTACTATTTTAAAATACATTATTACAATTAAGTCTATATATCTATTATGATGGGGAATAATTTTATTTGAGTGTTAAAAATTTGTTGCACTCCGCGCCCAAAAATGCATTTAATTCTTCAATTTTTTTATGTTTTTGTTTCTCTGCTCCCTTTCCCTTTGCTCAGAGATTGACTGGAACTGGATTAAGACTTTTCTGGGACATTAGTATAGACTGGGGCGTTTCCTGGGACTTCACCAGGGAAGTTGGAGTATCTTGGGATCTCACAACAAAAATGGGGGTCTCCTGGGGTCTCACAATGGAAGTGGTATAAGTACTCTCTTGGATTACGGAAGTGGGTGTCAATTGGGACATCAACACGGAACTGGGAGTCATCTGGGACATCACCATGGAACTGGGAGTCAACTGGGACATCACCATGGAACTGAGAGTCGTTTGGGACATTAACACAGAACTGGGAGTCATTTGGGACATCACCACAGAACTGGCAGTTGTCTGGGACATCACCACGAAACTAAGAGTCATCTGGGATATCAGCAAAGAACTGGGAGTCAACTGGGACATCACCACTAAACTGGGGGTCATCTGGGATATCACCACAGAACTGAGTCATCCGAGACGCAAACATGTTCGTAATAAATCTGCATTGACCTAACCATAGGTGCTCCTTATTAGTAGGAATGGTTTCTTACAATTTTTACTGCTCTTTCTCACCCTTTACCTCCTTTATTCTCCTCCCGTTCAGCATCCCGGAAAGGGACTGAGGGAGCTGATACCAAGGGTTTGGGAGAAGGAAAAACATTATTTACCTCCTCTAGACCATAACCTCAGCTCCACAGATTCACCGGCCTTCACAAATTCCTGATTTAAAGCTAGGACCCGCTGAATTGAACCAATGTTTATGTGTTAAGTTGAAACAGGTTGACCAGGTAGAGTGTTTGTTTCCAGTATTTCAGCTGATTTGGAGGCCAACACAGGTTTGCGGCCAAACTAGGCAGGGAGGAGAGAGCTGGTTGCTATCAGGTTGAATGCCAGGTCAAGCATAATGGTGGATATAACCTTTATATTCAAAATTATATTGTTTTCTTTAAGAATAATATTCACTTGCAACCTGCTTCCTACAGTAAGGCTGAGTGAGAAAGATTGAATATTTGAAAGCGCCACATTTATGTTGTGTGTGAAGGGAGATTCCTCCTCCCGCTTTCATGTTTCTCTCTTATTTCTTGAACTTGCAGTCAATAATTTAAAAATGCTCCATTCTTTACAGTTAGCCATCTAGTCATAACTTTGAAAATGGAAGGAAAACTTAAAATTACGCCAACAGTTCCTTCATGCTGAAAAACTGAATTTTGGCTTTTTTTTATAATTTTGATAATTTTGAATAGGTGAAGGGTAACCTGACTGGTGCAAATATAGGATTCCATGATTACCACGAGATTGTAAATCTCTCTGTCACAGCCTGCAGGAAAATGACTCACAGAGATGAGGGGAATAGAGTCAGTTCATTGATCTCTGTTGAGCAGAAACTCCAAAGTGAAGACTGGAAAATCCAATACGAAGCTAATAAGAATGAGACTGCAGGGTATAACTCTACTTGGATTGATAAGGGGTATCGGCTCTGCAAAACGTTCATCCTACAGGGGAGATTGTCCACAAGTTAAACTTTGATATTAAAGCATGCCAACCTTATTTAATTGTTAATCAAAATTTGTTATCCCATTTTTTGCAGATGAATCAGTAAAATAATGATGTTGACATTTTCTTTATAATACATTTTTCATTTCTAGGAGAGGTATTTTCACTTTAAAAATCGTTTTTTACCTGCTTTTTAGAATTCAAATCACAAATTGACTGGATTTCTATCCAATTCTTTGAATTAACTAAATTAATGATTCTGACTGGTTGTTAATGAGTTTAGCTGATAAAAAAATTGATATTAATTCTGATAAAAAACCATTTAGCTGTAAACTGTCTCTTCCAGGGTGAAGAAGTCCGTTTATCTTTCACACAAGCTGAGATGCAGTTTGAAAAATTTGTTCATCAAACTGGGTTGTTCAGCTCGGGACTTGAGGTTATGGTGTCCAGGGATTGGATGAACTATAATACTGTAGCCCTGATCAATGTTAAACAATTGACCCAGATTGCCAACGATAGTTTATGCTCTGATCAAAACTTGTTTGATCGGTGTAAAGAGAAATATCTTCTTGGTGTTGTAAATGATACTATAGGTTGCACCCCCAGGTACAATTTCAGTGTTCCACTAAACATTGACAATTTTTGACAAAAAGAGATTGGCCTGATGTCATCTACTTGAAATGTGTTGCAGCATTTGTTCACGATTCTAATTTAAGTTTTAACATGTATTTAACCCCATTTCCATAGTAATAAGCTTATCTTTTATTTGTGGCTTTAGATGAACCATGATACCCTAGCAGTGATCAATGATAAACAACTGACACTTATCGACATCAATAGTTTATGAAAACATGAAAACATAAAATAGAAAATGACAAGACTTCATATATTAGGCTCCTTTTCCAGAGTATTAATAGTTTCAATTTTTCTCTGAACTCAACAATAAACAATAATTATTGCAAATCATTTTTGTTTAAATTATTTGAATTTTTAAAAATAATATATGTCAACATTATTTTTATTCAAAATTTTTCAAATCTGACTTTATTAATGATGACATTCTAAAAAGCAGTTCTTGTTCAGGAATTCAAGTATTTACGCCGGATGCAATAGTTTAGAAGTGAAACTGAAGTCCTATGTAGAGTTTGGAAAAGCTACAAATGATGATTTTAAGACTGGAGAAGATACATGTCTTCTTCCCTGCACAATCAGCCTCATTCAGCTCAGCCTATTTTCTCAAAGGAAACCAGTAAGTTTCTTTAAAACCATAAAACTTAGTGGTTGATTGGTTGATTGACAGCAACTAAAAATTCACTCAAAGAATATGATTTTAATGGTTGAATTAATATTTAATTAAAGAAATAAAAAGTCACATTTCTTTTTCTGAATTGGAACTAAGTTGTAGTCTTGACTAGATCAAAACCGATTTTTTAACAAATACCAATAAGCTTTTCTTGTGCAGCTTTGATTGAAAAGAGTGTGCTTTTTAAAAGGTCTTAAGTTGTCAATTTCATGCCGGCAAAGACAGCAGTGCTCTCTTGGTCTCTCTAAGTATTTAGTTAAACTACTTTGAGTTAAACCAAGAGAAAGAAACAAAACTGGTGACTACTCCCAAATCTGGTAAAAGAATACTTACTGAGTTAAGTCAAACCCCCACCTACCTCTTCACACAAAGCTAAAGGAACAAAAAAGTAAATGCGCCAATAACCCATTGTCTTGAATCTGTTTAATTTTATACGCTTCTCTCTTTTTTTATCCCAAGAAGTGTAGAAATCTGTATTGTAAATCAATTCAGCACAAGATGCAGATATCTGCAAAAACCATGATTCAAGCATTCCACTTTGCCTCTACAGCAAATCTCAAACTTAGGCAAATTTACACACATAGGGAGCTACCTAGAGAATCCAACTTTCATATGGAGCAGAGATGGTGATTATTATCAACATTTTTTTAGCGCCATAAGATGGTTTAATTAGCACCAAGCAAGGAAATATAAGATCGAAAGAAAGCTAAAAAGAAGATTTTACAAAAGGAACATCAAGAAAACTACAGACATATGGCTACAGATTAACCCTATCTCTGCTGGGGTACTTGAAAACCAGGATATACGGGGGGGGGGTCAATGACCCCCCTCTAAATCCCATGTTTGATGTCCAAATATGGCAAATGATACATCATTGGAAAGCTCTTTTGCTCTACTTTTAGAATCTGCAAACAAATTTGAAAATTTGCAAAAATTGAATTTTTTATCGCAAAATCCAGTTTTATGATAAAAATGTTTGCAAAAAAAAATAACCTGATTTTTAATGAAGAAAAACTAAAAATGTGCAAATTCTCTTTGACAGGTTGTTTGCAAAAAATTTGCATTTTTTTTGCAAAACTGGTGCAATTTGTTTCCTTCTTATGTCAAAGGCTTTATAAAAAGCTAAATTTTATTAAAATCTGACAAGTGGAAGTGGGTCAAAAAAAAGATTTAGTTTGGTACAGGAAAAAGCAGTCATTCAGGCAGTGTGCCTGAGGACTCAGGCAGCTAGTATTAAAACCCGGTTTTAGGCCTAAAGGGAGGGCTTTGGGTATGTAGGAAAAGTCAGAAAATTTCAACAATCTCAGACCAATACTTTTTGAGTTATGTAAAAAAAACTACAGGCAGGAATAGGGTTAAGAACCAAAATCAGCATTTAAAAGAATACATACTTATGTTCTAAACTTTACTTCATAAAAATATCTAAAAAATATCTAAATAAAACTGTTAAAAAATGAAAAAATAAGGAATAAGAAAAACTATTTTTCTCAAAAAAGTTTCTTCACATGTTCCCTTCTGCGTTCTTAAAAAACCTGTTTCAGAAATCTGCCTGGGGTCCGAAGAATTTAATTCTAAGAATCCCGAGGAAAATTATGACTATCAGGTAGGGGCATATGTTTTTAAAGAAATAATACTTATTGATATAGCTCCATCATTTATCAAAATCTGTTAATTTCTTCAATGTAAAATTGTAAAATTATTTTAAACTTTGTGTTTCTTACGAGAAGGAAGGGGTTCTAGCTGAACATAATTATTAAACGTTAATTCTTATAAACAAGGTTATCAACAAAGGATGAGACCACTGTACGGTTTACTGCCTGTTTCCTTATATTTACCATGTTCTATAACTGTAAATAGGGTTGTTAACGTTTTCATTTTTTTTTAACGATCGTTAACGACGAACATTTGTTAACGACGTCCCTTTGTTAATGATCGTTAAGAAAGAGAGGAAACTGACCTGAAGGCCATCTGTACTTATCATTGAGTAGTTTTTAAGAAAATATCAAGAAGTTTTAGCTCCCCCCATAACATTTTAACTTCATGTAAGACGACATTCAATAAAGCTCCATGTAATTTTTTTTCAAAAATGATCGTTTTTCCAAAAACGACCGTTTTAATAAGGTACGACAACCATTCGTTAACGATCGTTGACGACCCTTCGTTAAAGATCGTTAAAATAATTTTCAATAAATTTTTTTTTCAAGATTAATCGTTTTTTCAAAAGCTATCATTTTTTAAAAACAATCGTATAATAAACGCTCACAAATTGTTTTTAAAAAAATGACTGTTTTCTAAAATGATCGTTATTCATTTTCTAAAAGTTCAAAACTATTGATAAACAAAACAAAAACACTTTCAAAAACGAATAACAACCCTAACTGTAAAGTGAATTTTTTTTTGTCAAATTCTTAAATAAGCCAATAACCAAATATATTTAGAGCAGAAGATTATATTTAACCTTGGTAACGTCAATCGTCATATCGTAATTCGTACAAGATTCAAGTTGTCTTTACATTCTCATCCTATATGGCTAACCCTGTAGCACAAAAACACACAAAAAAACAGATTGCACACACAAATTTCATATCATAGAAAATTTAAAAAAATTCTAAGCCAAATTGGTTCAATTATTTGGTCAAAAATAGACAAAAAATAACCACCATTAAATCCAGAGAAGCACAAAGGAGTTCTTCGCAGGCAGCGTTAAATTACAAGACAGAGAGAGAGAGAGCATTCACCTCCTGCCCAGAACTCCTTTTAGCTTCTGCCTCAGGGTTATTGTAAACGAAAAACCCCAAAGTCTTACAAAGAAGACATCTAGTGTCCTATCTGTTATCATTAATTAATGTATGATTAAAACCAAGGAGTGGATTTATCTACACAGTTTGGGAGTTTGCAGCAGAGTTTGGGGGTTGGATTGGAGTATTTCTAGGAAATGGAGTATTTCAAAAACAATTTTATTAATAATCAAAGCTTTAGTAACTTTATTCTTAAACTAGCTTGGGAACCTAGCATTGTCTGGAAACTATGGTATTCCCATAAACAGTTTCCTACTCAACTAAGATTCGTTTTCAAATTCATATTTGGCATAAAAATATCTCATCTTTACTGCGAGACATGTTACAGTGGTTCCTAAAATACTTTAGATTCGTAGGCTTACTATACAGGGTTACCCACAAAGAATGAGATTTTATAGTCAACCAAAAAATCTTTAGTTACAGAGATTTAAATGTTAAATTAGAGTTTCCGCCTTACATGCAGTCTTTTAAAGATATATTAGAAGATTTAATAAAAAATTATGTTTGCATTTCCCGATTTGTCTCTGAAGTCTCATCCTTTGTGGGTAACCCTATATATTGTTTTTTAAATATTCCATAATCTGTGATCACACGAATCCATTTACCTTAAAAAGTTAATTTTAGTAAAAGTTGATTTTGAAATACGCCAATTCTTCTTTTTCAAGGATACAGCAGTCTAGATCTATTGGAGGCGTTCCTGCAATTATCTACTTTTTTATCACAGATAATTTATCAATTTTGATCAATATTTTAGATCAATTGTTCCTGCAATTATCTACCAATTATTACAGATCATTTATCAATTTTGATCAATATTTTAGATCAATTGTTTCTGCAATATCTACCTATTTATCACAGATCATTTATCAATTTTAATAAATATTTTAGATCAATTGTTCTTGCAACTATCTACCAATTTATCACAGATCTTTTATCAATTTTGATCAATATTTTAGATCAATTGTTCTTGCAACTATCTACCAATTTATCACAGATCTTTTATCAATTTTAATATATATTTTAGATCAATTGTTCCTGCAATTATCTACTTTCTATCACAGATCATTTATCAATTTTGATAAATTCTATAGATCAATTGTTCCTGCAATTATCTACCTGTTATTCACAGATCATTTTATCAATTTTGATAAATATTTTAGATCAATTGTTCCTGCAATTATCTACTTTCTATCACAGATCATTTATCAATTTTGATAAATTCTATAGATCAATTGTTCCTGCAATTATCTACCTGTTATTCACAGATCATTTTATCAATTTTGATAAATATTTTAGATCAATTGTTCCTGCAATTATCTACTTTCTATCACAGATCATTTATCAATTTTGATAAATTCTATAGATCAATTGTTCCTGCAATTATCTACCTGTTATTCACAGATCATTTTATCAATTTTGATAAATATTTTAGATCAATTGTTCCTGCAATTATCTACTTTCTATCACAGATCATTTATCAATTTTGATAAATTCTATAGATCAATTGTTTCTGCAATTATCTACCTGTTATTCACAGATCTTTTATCAATTTTGATAAATATTTTAGATCAATTTTTCCTGCAATTATCTACCTATTTATCACAGATCATTTATCAATTTTGTTCAATATTTTAGATAAATTGTTCCTGCAATTATCTACCTATTTAATACTTTAAACTTGTAAAACCACACACCAAGTATTGAAACAATCCCTTTAAACATTTAATACCACACACCAAGAATTGAAACAATCCCTTTAAACATTTAATACCACACACCAAATATTGAATTATGTTGTATATGGGTTTTGTCTAATTATCAAGCAAAATGTAATTTACAAGCTAAATTTTTGCTCCATTTTTGTCAACATATTTTTCTATGTATTCAATTCATTCCAATAAATGTTTCATCTTTAACAGATTATCTAGAGACTATAGTTTTTTGAAGCATTAATTGAAATTTTTAGTTTTTGTGCTAAATGTAAACAGTTTAGAGCTTTAAGCAATTTTATAATATACTATATCATAATATACTACAGTAGATCCAGTAGAAATAATGGAAGAATTAGAAAGACTCGGAAACAAAACTTCTAAGGATATAAATGGAGCTTCAGGAAAATTGCTTAAAAATATATCTACAGAAATTGCCCCCGCTTTATTTTACATTTTTAATTTAAACCTTGACACAGGTGTATTCCCTAATTGTTGGAAAATGTCTAGTGAACCTGATATTTTCGTCTAATCTGACTAGTGAACCTGATATTTGCATCTAATTTGACAAGTGAATCTGATATTTAAGTCTAATCTAACTAGTGAACCTGATATTTGCGTCTAATTTGACTAGTGAACCTGATATTTGCGTAAAATCTGACGAGTGAACCTGATATTTGCATCTAATCTGACTAGTGAATCTGATATTTACGTCTAATTTGACTAGTGAACCTGATATTTGCATCTAATCTGACTAGTAAACCTGATATTTGCGTCTAATCTGCCCTAGCAACCAGCGACGTCGCACGACCAGTCCTATTAGGTCAAGATAGGTCGGGCTAGGTTAGGTTATGTTATATTACCAAACTGGTCGCAATATGACCAGTCCCCTTGGGTCGCGTTTGGTCAGGTTAGGTCGGGTTACATCAGATTACCAAACTGGTCGGAACATGACCAGTCCCCCTAGGTCGTGTTTGGTTAGGTTAGGTCGAGTTAGGTCGAATAACCTAACTGGTATCATACTGACCAATCCACTTAGGTCGTATTTGGTCGAGATTGGGTGAGTTATGTCAGGAGATCTAACTTGTCGGAACATGACCGGTCCCTCTAGGTCCTATATGGTCAGGTTAGGTCGGATTAGGTTGAGTAACCTAACTGGTCTCACACTGGTCTCAACCTGATCAATCCATCGCAAATTTGACGTTCAAAACTCCTACTTTGGAGGTGGATACGTTTTCAGAATTAGTTTTTTTAATTATTAAAAAACGACAACGAAAAAAAAGTAAAAATTATATAGTAATCTAATTGGATGGTTAGGAACGTATTTCTCAGAAGAAATTTGTCAAAAAAATCAATGCTTCAATAGATTATTTCATTTTCATTATTATATTACACTTCTTATTTTCTTTGCATTTATTCACAGATTTCTTCAAATTCTTCAAATGTCGTCTTTTCAATAATAATTCTAGAAAATCTGCAGAAAATCTTTGTGAATAATAAGAAACCAGAATAATGAGAAAATAGAAACGATTTTCTCATGACGTCTGTAGTTTATTGAAGAACTTTTTTACATTTTATGTCGTCGTTATTTAATAATTAATAACTCAAAAAAAAATAATTCTGAAAACGTATCCACCCCCAAAGTAGGAGTTTTGAACGTCGAATTTGCGCTCAAACTCAGGATTTACAGATCTTTAAAAAGTTTAATATGTCTCAAATGAATCCGAAAGAAGTTTTCCACAACACTGCATACTCAGTTCAACTACCTTACATAGCCGGTCACTCCCTTTAAATCAATTCAAGTTAATCCCTTGAAAACTCTGATAGTTTCGCTGTGTGTATATTAATATTTTCATGTTTGAAAACTCAGGGTTTTCCGTGTTTCTTCCATTAATTAAAACTGGATTGTGAATTTTCGAAAAGTGTAATTGCGGATTTTATAAAAAAAAAACTCTTTGACAAAAACACACATGACCATGTTTGTTTATTTTACCCAATGTCGCAAAAAAAACGGTATAGCTATAGCTTATATGCTATCAAAAAAGTATAAAAAACATTGTAACAGAAAAACATAAAATAAGCAAATTATATTAAAAATGTAATAAATATTTAAAGCACTATTTTTTTGTTTTGCAGTGCTTTAAAGTTTTGGACAGAAATTTGCTCCCAATCGAATGGTTAATTTTATCCTTTTTAGATTATATTTACACAATATTCTTTAATTAAAAATGATTCATAAATAGTGTAATCAATGCATTACATCTAGGGTTGTTAATCGTTTTTGTAAACGATCGTTAAACGATCGTTTTTTGTTTCGTTTTCAAAAACGATCGTTTCGTTTTTAAAAACGACCCACTCGTTTTGAACTTTTAGAAAACGAATAGCGATCGTTTTTGAAAACAATCGTTTTTATTAAAACGATTTGCGACCTTTTTTATACGATTGTTTTTAAAAAAACGATCGTTTTTGAAAAAACGATCGTTTTTGAAATTTTTTTTTATTGACAATTATATTAACGATCGTTAACGAAGGGTCGTCGTTAACGATCGTTAACAAAGGGTCGTCGTTAACGAAAGGTCGTCGTTAACGATCGTTAACGAAGGGTTGTCATTAACGATCGTTTTTCTGAAAAATGAAAACGTTAACATCCCTAATTACATCCTAGATTATAAAATATATATATATATATAAATAACCCAACCAGTCCCTAAAGAGCTAAAAATCCTTAAATACCTTATATGCAAATGTACATACATTTCAGTCCAGTCAACTGTACTCTTACTCAATCAATTCTTAAATACTTAAAACAAATTGGTTTAAGCTTAAATTCTGATTGACGCATTTATGTATATATATGGTGTCTACAATTACATAAATATATGAATTTCAGATATCTTACTTTTTTCAGATACAGATACACAAAACATGACAATTGGTGAATAGTTTTAAATGTCTTCTTCCATATACTGTATTGATTCATAAAGACTTTTTGCAGTTTGTTTTGTTAAAAAAATCTTTTACTCAAATATATTTTAATCTAAAATCATGTTTACAATAATATGGCTGCCAAATAAAATTTTTTGTTATTCTCTTATATAAAACAGCTTAACAAATTATGGAAGAAGACATTTTAAACTATTTACCAACTGTCATGTTTCGTGGGACACCCTGTATCTTACTTTTCTTATTTTTAACGGAAGAATAAAGAAAGAAAGAAGGCTTGAATTTGGAGATCCAGACTCCTATAAAAGTTTATCGATTTTTAAGATCTGGTCGACTTTTCACTTGAGTGATTGAAGAATTATAATTCCAACTGGTGTAAAATTAATAACTTGAGTGATTCAAAAAATTATAATTCTAACTGTTGTAAAATTAACAACTTGAGTGATTTAAAAATTATAATTCCAACTGGTGTAAAATTAACATTTTCAGTGATTTAAAAAATTATAATTATAATTATAAATGGTGTAAAACTAAGAGTTCATTTAATATTTGCAATAGGCAAACTTTGAGATGGTCCACGGACTACCAGCAGGCACCTTCTAGCGTTTGACTTAGATTTTTTAGATTAGATTAAAGAAAAATTGGAGCCGCAAAAATTCCACCCCAAGCTGCTCGTGATTTTAACATAATTCACTGTAAACAAATCCGGGGGAGAGGGGGATTTTTTGCATGGTTCGGGGGGGGGGAATAAAAAAATTTGAAATCAGGTTACCCCCATCCCCCGACAGGAGCAAATCTGATTTTCTCAGGGTTCTCCGGGATATTTTTGTTGAATATGATCTGTTTAACACTATGAATCTTATACAAAATCTTATATATATATGAACCTTTTGATCAACTCCTGAGATTCTCAGGTTTCAGCCTATACCTCCTTTAATTTTTCCTTTACAGTCCCTTTAAGATATTATTTTTCTTTTGATAAATTACAATCAAGGTCATATACAATAGATGATATTTACTGGGATATGTATTTGTTTAACAATGAGACAAGGATGCAACACTGCATGTAAATATATGAGAAGCCCTATGTCAACTCAAGCTCAGGAGATTGCTTAGCAGGGTGAGTGATATAACTTAAGATTAATTTAAATTAAGATCATTCTCTAAATGTTTCCTCTACAGCAAAAATTTAAGTAAAAAATACGATACTCTGTGTAGAAGCATTGCCGGATCTAATGCTGTCTCTATGTAAGAGATTTAATCTTGAACATAATCTTCATTTTCCAGCAGGAACGGATTTTTTACATCATTTTAAATTTGACTTTTGATTTTGAAAAATATGTTTTTTTATAGGTTATCCTACAAATTGCCTGGTATTCAAAGAGGTAAAATTCACATATTTGAAAATTAACAACATTGCAGGATTATTTCTATGCAAAACTTATTTGTATATTTAGAACAAATCTTGTGAAATGAATGAGGATTCAAGACTTGACCAGTTTTTAGCGCTTTCAGGAACCAAATTCAGGATCTCAGATCTATTACTGCGGTTTGATAGAGTGTTTGATTAATGATACAGATTGGATTTTACAATTACAGAGTAAATATGATGAATTTACCTCCAGGTATAGGCAATAGAGAATTTTTTGTTAATATTTCCAATATACATTATTTTTTTTGTATATGCTAGATGGAGGATGTACCCCTATCTAGATAACAACTCTTTCCTTTGTTATACTTGAACTCAAGATGTATCGCAGTAATCCGACTAAATACACAGGTAGTATCTAAGTCAATTTGGTTAATCTAAAACTCCTACTGCTGAGTTATATTTGCCTTAAAACTTACACATTCTAATTTTTGTTAGTTGATAGATGAAACCATAGCAGCACAAATTCCATACAAGAGTTTTAATAATTTCAGCAAAGTAAATATCTATATAAATTTTGTGAGTATTTCGCCCTCCACCAACCTTCTGACCCTTCTTGACCCTCCTGAAGTCTAGGGCCAATCATTAAAGACAGCCATTTATGGTTTAATGGGTTCTGTTAAAAATCAATTTATGTCATAGAAATCTTAAAATGTCTAATTGTAATATGTGGTTATTGTAGCAAACATAACTAATAAAATAAAATAATGATATAATTATGTTAACCCTATCTCTGCTGGGGTACTTGAAAACCAGGATTGACCCTCCCCCCTCTAAATCCCATGTTAGATGTCTAAATATGACAAATGATACATTTTGGATACGCTCAGATTTAAACAACGACGGTATAAATAATTACTTTATTAACTAACTTATTTTACTTTATCAATTTAAGAAATCAAAAATATGTCTATTCATGGTGACTTGGCAGATCTGTGTTCCTCTTGCCGCGTCTCTCTATCCGGCTAAGACTTGGATCGTCTTCCGCCACATTACTCCCCCCAAGAAGGAACGCCGGAGTTAAGGCGGAGCAGGAACTTCTTCCCCTAGCCTGTCTGTGCGGGTTTCTTCTCAGCATAACTGTAGGTTGGTTGAGGAAAGTCACAGATTTCTTCTTGGAGGCGGAAGAGTTCACGGCGGAGGATGGATCAGGAGGATGTCTTGCTGGACAAAGAGGAGGACGTCCTAGAGGCGGAGGATTAGCTGGAACCACAGGGGAGTCCGAAAACACTAGCTTAAGATGATCAATCGAGACAGAATCCACCTTGTTACCAATCTGGAGGCAGAAGAACTTGTTCCGCCGCTCTAAAACCAAGTAAGGGCCACGGTATAAAGGGGCAAGAGAAGGTTTACTGGCGTCTTCTCGTACAAACACGAACCTAGCAGTTGTAAGAGAGGCTGGAACTTCAGCTGGAGGCTGCTGTGGAACGTGATGAGGCGGAGGAACGGAGAAACCGGATATAACCTTCCCTATCTTGCTGAGGAACTGAGAACTTGGAATTTCTGGACCATCCAAAAACTCTCCTGGAATTGTTAAGGAGGAGCCGTAGACTGCCTCGGAAACAGAGAATCCTGTGTCTTCTTTTGGAACGGAGCGGAGTCCAAGCAAAACCAGAGGCAGGTGTGAGACCCAGTCAGAGTTAGCAGCTCTGGCTCAGAGAGAAGACTTCAGAGATCGATGGAAACATTCAACCATACCATTTGATTGAGGATGAAAACTCGTTGTCTGTGAGGCTGAGATTCCCAGAGAATGACAGACTCCGGCCCAGACGGAAGATGTGAACTGTGCGCCTCTGTCAGAGGTCAAGATTGAAGGAACACCAAATCTTGAAATCCAGGTTATGATGTAAGAACAATCCTGACTCGAGGGTAGAGGTCCGACAATATCAATGTGAACATGAGAAAAATGTCTGGAAGGAACGGAAATAGCAGGAACAGAAGATTTCACATGAGTTTGAATCTTACTCCGTAGACACTGGAGGCAAGCTCTGGCCCACACTCCCGTATCTTGAGATATACCAGGCCAACCGAACCGAGCAGAACTTAATCTCCGAGATCCTCTGACACCAGGGTGAGATACATTGTGCAGGGCTAGGAACAGAGGTTTACGGAGAACTTCTGGAACTAGAGGTCTGAGATTTCCTGTAGAACTATCACATAATAACACTCCGGAATCCAGAGTCACAGTCACTATTGAAAGAGAAGGCAAATTCTTCATAGTTTTTACTGATGGACAAACTTGCTGAAAATATAAAATCTTTGAAAAATCAAAGTTTGGAACGAAAAAATCTTGTCGGATTGTAGAGGAGGGTGGAGAATCAGACACCTCCGACACCTCCGACACCGCCAACACCGCCGACACCACCAACACCGCCGACATCTCCAGAACAGGATCCTTGGTAGGAGAAGGCTTCGGAGCATCGTGAGAGGGGGGAGGGGCTTGGAGCTGCAGCGGAGCTGGATTTAGAAGAGGCGGAGGTTGTAATGGAGCTGGGGAACTGGAGCACTGAGTGGGGCGAGAAAGGGCATCAGCCACGGTGTTCTCCTGAACAGGAACATGCACGATGGAACTGGTAAATTCAGCGACGTAGGCCAAATGTCTCTGCTGTCTAGCTGTCCAGGGCGGAGAACTCCTGAACAAGGAAGAGGTTAGAGGTTTGTGATCAGTAAATAGCAAAAATTCTCTACCTTCTAGCATGAAGCGGAAGTGTCTGATGGAGAGATAGGCCGCCAGGAGTTCTCTGTCGAAGGCGGAGTACTTTTTCTCTGCGTCTGATAGTTTCCTGGAGAAAAAGGCTAGAGGAAACCAGGCTTCATCAATCCTCTGTTGGAGTACAGCAC